CATTACCAATATAGTACTGCTGTGGTACTGTATGATAATTGCAAGTGGGTACCTCAACTAATTTATATTTATATTTAAAAAATAAAATGAGACTCAAAACCTTGCTGCTAGTATTTATAGAATAATATATAATTATTTGATTGTTTTCAAGTATGTTAAGAATTATTATACTGTATACTCAGACACTATTCATTGATATGTTCGAATATGTGTAAGTATCTATAATTTGTTTTGAATTGTACAATGTATACAATGCATTAAGATTTATGAATGTAATTGACAAAAAATACCCCATCGTGATTAGGTTAGGTAAAAAACGTTTTATTGTATTCCCGCAAGTAATTCGAGAACCGTTTTCATAAGGACATAATAGAAAATAAAAGAGAAAAAAATGGCAAAATAAAGATCAAAAGGAAAAAGTTTTGTGGTCTGTTGAATTGGTAGAATGCTTTGAGGAATCGTTTTCTCTATTGTTTTGGTATTGTTTGCTGGCCACGTTGCTTCATTAAATTATCGATTGAATCTTTTTTTACATTATATTACCATATGCTTATTCACTAGAGACATTATTATAATGCGTAACAAATAGATACTTAGTAAATAATATCATTATATCAGTGGCACGTGTCACGTGTGTTGAACGACATTTCGATATGTAATGAAAATGTATTTAATGGTTTATGATAATTGGCTCACCAATCATATATTTTGGTGTACCTAAGTTAAAAAACTTAAAGTCGTTCTCCTCCCCAACCAAAAATAAAGTCCATTTACCGCACATTTAATGTAGGTGGGTGAGTGGTATAAGTCATTTGAACACGTTGCCTTTGGGGTTTCGAAATATACTCCTCACCAAGTAACTGCATATTAAAATCCGTCTACCGACTATTACCTCACCATTCCCCGTCTTTGGATGAATGGTTGGGGGGGGGGGTGAAACGGAGAGCTTGCTCCGGGCGCCATCGTCTAGTGCGGTCGCCAAATCTTGAAATATTAATAAAGTTTATTTAAACTATACACGTTGACTTGATATAATTTTATCTTTGCAATGGTCATAACTAAAAACATTTCACAATATCTGTTGTAGAGGAAACAGCCAATCACTTATTTATCTGAAATAGAAGTATAATAATTGGACTGGGATTTCATGTATTTTTTATTGTATTCCAAAGCTGAAAAAACTGCTCGTTTTATAGCATATACACGTTTAAAACGTATTAATGTTTTTGGGAAATGTAACACTATAATTCAGTATTTTTAAATTATATTTTAACAAGGTTTTTACCTTATCGAATATTATTAATCGTAATTTTTCAAACGAATTCTTACGAAATCGACTATACTTACGAGTGGCAATGGAAAATTTAAAAAAAATAATTCTCTAGTCAAATTAATAATCCTTGAAGTTGTGCAGTTTTTCAAACCTTTTTTTTTAATTTAATAAAAAATATGTTTCGGTTTAAAATTAAGGGAAATAAAATGCAATATTTAAGTTTTAGTATCTTGAATTTTTAGAAGATAAAGGTGTTAGGGTAATCTTACTGTTTTCATAAGGTATTACATTCCCATCAGCCCTATAACGATTAGGTACATGATTTTATAATGTTATACAGAGTAGGTTTAGCTGCAGGTTTTTTAAAAATACACGACATCAAGTGGTGACGGCGTCGTGAAGTGGAATATTAAAGTGTCAGCTTTCTGAGTAGATAATAATAATATACTCGTCACGATCGCGATCATATAATATTGTCGGGGTCGTACGTGCGTTAATCGTTATCATCGAAAAATATAAAATAATATCGTTTAGGTATAATACGGGACGGGCGATTGAAACGAATATTATTTTGTTATACTGTACGCGTATTTTATAAAATATAATAATAATATATACACCTACCGGGCCAGCTTTCTGTATTAAATATTGTATATACCTATACGGTGGCTGTACGGTGAACGTCGTAATACGCGGTATAACGTCATATAATAGGATCGGTGGAATCGTTCGGGTTTAGCGTTTACCGGGGTGGTTATACGACAGAGAGCTATACATGCGCGTGGGTGGGTGAGCCCGATGCGATCCCATATTGTTGTGCTTGTGAGTGTGTGTGTGTGTGTGTGTGTGTGAGAGAGAGAGAGAGAGTGAGAGAGAAAGAGCTGAAAATATTTTTATTCCGTCTTTATACCATCGGAACACATTTTGTTTAAACGATAGCATCGCTACAACTGCTCCCACTGTCGTGCAATACGACCGCTGTGCGTGTGCATTAAAACTTTGTCCGTTTGAAGATTTACCAGAACTTTTTCATAAAAGTGTAAGTATGCGTATATACCTACCTATCGCAGCCGGCTGTTGTCACTCTGATTCTAATTATATTTTCGAATGCAGTTAAGCCGACATGCAGTTTAACTATACTGTCATCTGTTCAATACGGTGAACAACGATCAACTTTCAGCTATGTACTACTATATTAAGGCAGGTTTCAAATTTCCTTGAAAACTGTCTCAATAAATATCATTATGCAATAAACATAACGCGTAATACTCTATAGGGTAAGTTAATGAATACGCGGTATACAATTCCTATACTACTTCTGTTCATTTCTAGAATTGAAGTTTGTAGTGCCATTCCCCAGACATATTTAGTTTGATTTTTTTTAATTTTTTTATTTTAATATAACTACTGCGATAACAACATCCCTACCTCAAGCTTACGTAACTTCCAAAATAAGCTTTAAATGTGTTTATTACTATTTTTTTTTTTTATTAATTTAAAATATCAAAACTGTATACTTATATCTATTAAAACTACTAAAGTATAATAAAAATTTAAATGTTATTGATAATTGCAAATTTCATTCTTCAAGCTTATTATTTCCAAAATTGAAGCATGACATATAATATATATATAATTTTTAAAGTATAATTATGCACTACAAATCCAGAACATTGTTTTATGTGATATTATTTACATGCCATCAGTTTTAATTTAAGAAAAAAGTATATCAAGTAGAAATTAACTATAATTACATCAGTCACAAAGCAACCTTGAAATTACATAGAAAGTCTTACTTATAAACTATAACATATGTTGTTATCAATTGTTTAATTTACGCCAAAAAAAAATAAAATACAATTGAATATGCTTTGCGTGTTAAAGTTGTACAAGTGAAGACATATCAAAGATTGCTAGTAGTAAATAGTTATTTTCAATGATTCAATACTCATGTTTGATGAAAACGTGCACAGAGCAATATAATACAATATAATAGATATTTTTCGTTTAGGCATACAATGTTGCAGCCAAAATCTAACTTCAAATGCTAATAAAAAAAAATGTAAATTATACTCGGTATCAATATTTATTAATTACTGTGAGAAAAACTTCCTCGAATTAAATGTCAAACCTAAGGCATTCAAATTGAAGTTATTACCTTTGTATTTTTAATTACAAAATAATTTGCAAAATATTAGTGATTTTTATGATTTTTTTTTTAAATTTTACCATTAAATATTTATAAAATTGATTTGTTATTATACGATTAGGACATTGTTAATTGTTGTAAAACTGCATAACCTTTTGATACATTTTAAGCTTTTTGACCAAAGATACAATTTTAACAGTTTAAATTGAAATAAATAAAAACATTTAGTTAATTTGTATCAAAAGCCCGAATAGAGCTAAAATAATTTGACAATTATAATATTACCGTCATGTGTATTATACGGTTAATATTTGGTGAAAGTTTCAAGCTTAGCTGTCATTCTTTTTCGAATTACAACACAAAATCAAAACGAAATACGATTATCTACATATTTTCATAATATATTATAATGATGTGAAATTATTTTAATTTGCCTTGTAATAAATTATGTAGCACGTGATTAAAAATTCTCTGTTAGTGACAACACCCTCTCCCCGCTCTTGTAACTGCAATGACCGCCTGCAATAGTGTTTTTAACAGAGGGAAGCTCAAAGGTTACATTTTCGTAATAATATTATTATACCGCCGTGGTTGGTGGATAAAATTCGATGATACCTAATTTACGGGCACCCACGAAAGTCAAAATATCGTGTCGTTAAATAATTAATAATTATTGGTTAGTAAAATATAAAACTCAGTATAATATATGAACCTGTAGCACACTATTAGAGTCATCGATCTACCTACCACTCGAGACAACCGCCGTAAGCCGCTGGTAACACATCACACATATCGGCATTGTCGTTATAAAAAAAAAAAAAATAATATATTTGATGGCATGTATAATTGGTTTGTAGAATAGAACACTGTCAATAATAATATTATATATTATATTAAATAATATTAAATGATATATATATATATTACAGTGTTCTTATATATTATTAATATATAAGAACCTGCAGCGCATTTTAGCCGTCCACCTACCACTCGAGGAGTAACCACGTTAAGCTACTGGTAATACACTTGACCTGGGTATACTAGGCATTGACGTTATTTTTATTATAGTGATAAGACGAAATTATATTCGCGTGAGGCGAAATTGGCAGCGCGGTAAACCTACTACTCCTGAAACAACCGCGGTAAGCTGCTGGTAACACATCACACTGAACACCGTATGAGTTTTACCGTGGTTTTCGTAGTTTTAACAATAATCATAATATGGTGATAAGACGATATCAATATTATATATTCGTTGGCGAGTATAATTCGTTTGTAGAATAAAACACTGCGCATAATAATACATACGAGAACCTGCAGAGCATTGTCGCCGTCCATCTACCACTCGCGGAACAACCGCGGTAAGCTGCTGGTAATACACTCGATCGGTATACTAGGCATTGTTGTTATTGTTATTATGGTGATAAGACGATATATATTCGCGTGTGGCGAAATTGGCCGGCGGCGCGGCGGCGGCGGCGGGCACACACATGCGCCGTGTATTGATTGCCGGCAACAACAACGCGTCGGAGTCGCGCGCTCTCGCGTTACAGACCGTTAAATAATCGCCGCGAGAGTATAAAACGGGAAAACCCGAAAGCCACGGCGATCACAAAACCTCAGTGTCTTGCCCCGTGCCGGCGACATCCCTTCGCGCCCGTCCGCTGCACCAGTCGCAACGAACGGTTCTCCTCGCGTATTTGCCGCACATACACGGTTCGAAAAAAAAAACCCCCGAAAAGCGTAACATTTTTTTTCCGCTCTGCCGAGCAAACCTTTATAGAAAAAAGGAAAAAACGATTTTCAATTATTTTCCAACACATTTTCACCGTTACACAACCGCGATATCCGGCTTTTTGTCTGGAATTTATTCAGATTTTCAGTCGTCATCTCGATCGCGGTCCAATAATCATCGTCGATAATATTATTCACGTCCCGTTTCTTGTTTGATTCGCTGTCCACAATCATCATCGCCTTCGTCCCCATTCCCCTCCCCGGAGAGGAGTGACAGAGCACAGAGCTGTCCGTCGCCACAACGCAGAAGACAGGAAGACTGAACAAGCAAACTAAGCTGTCCGCACGAGGTAGGTGCTTAAATATAATAATAATATCAGGTGTTGTTTTTTATAGTAAATTTTGACTCGGTTAGGTTTAATTATAAATATTAAAATAATATGACCGTGTATTATAATTCTATCAAATTACCTGTTACCTTGTTGAGTAGATTATAATTGCACATGGTGTGTGTATTCTACAATATTATGTCGTAAAAAATGGTTCGACACGTGTATGCTGTTGACAAAAAACCACACCGATGTATGAGTAAATAACGATTCCAAACACGATAAATCCGAATTCAGTAGAGATATTATTATAAAAAGGCACATGTTTGATATTTAAAAAAAAAATCTAATTAGTATTTTAAAACGAAACAAGCTTAACAACAGATTAGTCAGTGTTCATGCAGGTGCCGTATATTAATCTTTGCGCTTTTTTAATCACATGAAAAGTGTTGGTCGACAAAAAAATAGCTAGGTCCACATAATTGTATAATCAATGGCGATCCCTCACTCTGCTGGGACTTATAATAATTATTATAATAATAATGTGGTAGCAGATTGATTTTAATTTATTTATAAAATGCGTGTTTAACAATCATGTTGTCTGGAAAAAATCATAAAAAGTAATGTTTCAGATTTGTATGGTAAACATTACTAAAAATACATAGTTTCAATGGTATTATTTTTTAATCTACATAATGCTAGTATAAATTTTATGTTATGTTTATTATGTAAATTATAACGATTGTACAATTTTTACATTTGGCGAAATTATGTATTTTCCAGACAATTATTCCGGAATATTTTACACTATTAAAACATTTGCGATGATAACATTTAACAATTCATGTTTCATGGTCAATAAACGGTCCATTAATATGAAAATTTACTTTGTAAAGATTCAATGCAAATTTAGTTATAAATTAATATAAACAAAATACTTACTAAACACTGATTTTCGATCGAATCACTTATGTTTTTGGTGTAATTCAGAATTTTTCACTGTCAATTTAGGTACATAGAGAAGATAATTAAAATTGTAATTTTTTAAAAATATTTGCTTATTTTGCTCTATTTATTGACGCACAATATCTTTTATTCTTTTAATTTTTTTTTTATCATTTGATGTTCATTAGATTTTTTAGTCATAAATTGTTTACACTGTTCCTACATTATTTTTTCTTACGTTTATTAAAATTACTGATACTATTAAATAAACACTAATTAAAAAAAATTAACAATATATAAATACAATATTACCGTTTGTATTTAATGATCAAATTTGATAAAATCGGAGATTTAAAAAAATATGTGAATTTTTTCCAACAATTTCTAGTTACCTATTTTGTTGTAATTCAAAAAAGTTTTACTGTGAAATCATGGAGCTATACTCATCACGTATATATTATTACAATACGATTTTTAAAAAAATGAGAATAATTTTAAGCTATTCCAGATAAAGCAAACTTATTCACAATAGCTTACAGTATAATAGTGTACCTGTTAGTTAAACTTCTATAGTATGAACCAATTATTTATTTAATAGTAGGTACTTGAAACATACCGTTTTTTTTCGACAAAAATGAGTTTAACCTACCAAATCAAGAAAACTGACTAATCCTTAGAAATAGAATGGCTAGTCTACTCTTTTCAGACATTTCCTTCGATCAGGACAGTTTTTTGAATATAATGATATATCATTAAATTCAAATTCGACACATCCAATATTACTTAATGATGAGAATATGAGATATTACTGAAGACCTATTATATAACAGAGCCAAGTTCCTTGTTTTCTTTTTTTTTTTTCAATCGTTACTACAATATTAAATATTAGAATATTTATCAAAGTATGCATTTTTAATTGTTTGGTCTTTATTAATCGGAGTCTTAAAACCACACCATACTGAGCTAAAATTACAAACAAATATTTCTAGAGGTATTTACTGTTTTTCAATATTTAAAATTGTAGGCAATAATGGAATGTGTTGGTATTTCATTTATGTGGTTTTTCCTTTTGGTCAGATAGTCGTGTAAATGTCACCACCTTATTGGGTAGAAAGAATTCTCGAAAGTTTCTATGTGTATAGCAACTTTTTAAATAGAAAACTTGATCTATTAGTGTGGTAATATTTTAAGCGTAAAAAAAAAAACTACTGGCGACTTGAAAAAAAAATGGTAAAATTTACGATGTACTGTTTTTTTATATATATATTTTGTTGTGATTCAAAAAATAAATGTAACTTTATAAAATAACGTAAATGTTTACCCATTATAAATTGTTGTTTGTATAAAGTGGACGTTGTACTGTTTTATAAATAATATGTACACACAATGTAGGTATAATGTTATAAAAATGTTGGGTGTGTATACATGCATAATTGTCTCAAAAAGAGAAATTACATCGCTATTAGGTTATCGATGTTGATTGGCTTAAAAATAAAAATAAAATGGAAAACGATCTGTGAATTTGGTTAAGTCAAATTAAATCTATGTGTAATTTGTGTATATTGGTATATTATACCTATAATTATAAAAATGTTGTATTTCAATGTAAAAGAAAATGTGTTTTATATTAAAATTATTTATTTGTATGCATTATGCAATATTGTAATACATTTAAATTTATAAAATACTACGATTAAATATGATTTGTTTTGGATTTAATTATAATTTAATTTAACTTAAATAATGTAATAAATAATTTTTTTTATAGGATGACATATTAATATATTATCAGATTTGACTATAATTTTCCTTCTAGTTTTTATTTTTTATTACATCATTGATTAATTTATTAAAATTTAAAGCACATTATTGATGTAATAAGAATAAATATCATTAAAGTGTTATCAGTAAAAAATTACCAAATATAAAATGGATTATTGTTTTTAAGCTCGTTAAGAGATTTCTTGTTGAAGATATTTATACTTAGGTATGTGATATCTTTGTATGGTATACAGATATATTATAGCATGTGTATTGTCTCTAGCTATTTGGGTGTTTCCTATTTCTTTTGTACAATTTTCACCAACAAAACTTTCAAGCGAACAATGATTTTGATTCCAATGAAATTATGTTTCTCACGTTAGTTGGCGTATATCATTCTCTATTGAAGACGCACTTGAATTATAAGTGTCGAAGAATCGTAGCCACTACACTCGGATAACTACACTACTAGGCAGGCCATTCAGTTGAAATTATTCGTTGACTTGAATAAATTATTATCAACAAAGTAGGTACCCACTATATATTTTGTTCGTATTACAGTGTTTTTATTGATAAGCAATACAAATATTAAAAATTATAATCATTGATTGTCAGCTAAAATATTTTAAATACATTTAAAATTTAATATTTAGAATTTTAGAGCTGGTAAGAAACTTATAATATTAAATATCATTGAAGAATATAAAAGATTATGTTTTTTAGTTAATCAATAATATCATAAGTATAGTTAGTTTTATGAACTTTTTCTAAACATAGGCTAAGACTCCATATAGACAATTTGTTAAAGACATTTAGAAAAAATAAGTAGTTACATTTCAAATTAAGTATGCTCGGAAAAGGGATTTTTTTATTGTTCTTTTAAATGATTGTTTAAACCATTTAATATAATTACTATAGTTTGGTGCACGTGTACTTAGATCATTGGTGGATATGGTTTAAAGGTATTTTACATTTTATTATTTACTCTTAGCCCATCTCACAAGTCACAGCAATATACAATATAATCGAGTATATTATGTTCGTTTTCATATATTTTATGTCCGTCTATTCACGATTGAAATTAAACTGGAAGCTTCAAAAAATAAAAAAATTCCACAATGATAATTTCCATCGTCGAGAACATCTTAATTTTGGCTGAAAAAAAAAACATTATCCGAACACTGTAATATTTTCGCGAACAATATTATATAGCATTTTTTGTAGTGTCTATAATAATATATATTAACACGGACCGTTATAAAACGATGTCCATAACAATTATTGTAATTTTTTTCACGGGATCCATATCTACCTACTCACAAATTTTCATATAATGAAACTTTTCGAAAGACTTCGGTGAATGCAATACATGGTATCGGTGTTAGCAACAATTATTATATTGTGGTATGACAATAATATTTTTAAATTAATAACAAAATACAAAATTGCATTTTAAATTAGCTAACAATTGTTGTATTATTTATATAAATTGGTCGCAGTTTTTATAGAAGTAACCACTGATTTCAGTTTTATCACTATTCGGTATTTACACGCATATGTATATCATTATAATTTGTTTTATACTTGCATAACATTTATTATGTGCTTCTTTTAGTCACCGGTGTGTCTTATTTTCATGTATTATTTTACGGCTTTGCACGGTGAAGTTTAATGTGGAACGTTTAAAATCATTCATGAATTATAAATTGTATGTGTGTGCCCAACACTTTTAAAACAAATTAAAACATTAAACAACTTTAATCTTTGTATAATATGGGTATTATTCAGTGATATAGATGCATACGTAATTATTTATTATACTGTGTTCATTTTAATACGATTTTATGATGTTTTCATCATAATTATTTTGATAATTCGTAACAATATATTTACGCATTATTTTCTAACAATTAAAGAAAAATTTATAATAATTAAAACATAGGTACAGAAATGTTTCAAATATCAGAAATGCAATTAGATTACATTAAATCGATGCATTTATTCAATTTGTATGTTGTGTTTGAATATACTTGTGTAGATTTATTGGTAATTGGTTTCATAAAGTATTTAGTATGCATTAAGTGTATTATAAATTATATATTACCTATGTATCTTTTATTAATTAAATTAGCATTTTATTTTCTATATCAGGCATGTTTCATTGGAAAATTGTTAAATTAAAGATTTCAGAAACAGACAGCTAGCGCATACAATATCTGAAACTCGGAATATTATCACGTACCTTAATCATTTATCAGCATTCTTTAAAAAAATTAAACTGTTTACAACAAACCTTATTACCCACAAACAATATT